AGAGAGAGAGAGAGAGAGAGAGAGGGAGAGAGAGAGAGAGAGAAAGGGGGGAGGGAAGAACAGCACAGTAAATACTTTTACTTCACATCCTCTACCCCCACCCCTCCCCGGATCCTTTTTTTTTCAAAAATTAGTTGTTGTGTTTTTTTCTGTTAAAAAATTAAAAGATTAATCTGTGAACAAAATAACAAAGCACAGACTTGTGAGCCTGGCACTGTCGCCTGAGGCGAGTGGACATCCGTCCTGCTGGCCTGAGACCGCAACAGCTGTTAGAGGGTGACCCTCCCTCCTCCTCTTTTTACTACTTTTTTATCTCTCTAACTTATCGTTCTCCAAAGGACAGTGCAATACAGCATTTTGAATTTAAGGGCAGACGAGGGCGAGGACGACTCATTTTCTAGACGACAGTCGGTAAGTTCGTTGGTAGTGTTTTTCCTTAACCCTATCCGTACGTCGTATTTTACTATCGTATCCCTACGACGTGGGGAACTCTGTGCCACCACTTTCCAAGAGGAAATTTACTCGCTAATCCAATCCGTACGCTTTGCATAGCAGTCTGTCAAAATGATTTTTGGAGAAATGCTGAAAGTTTCAAAGAGATCTTCGTACTAGAAGTACTCTAAAAATGTGAAGAATACAACCCCGGGGGTACAAAATGGTCACAGGGCGTACGGACAAGGTTAAGTATAAGCTATATCTGTTGTCTCAAACTCAAATAACTCGGCTGGCGTTGGAGGTAAAGTCTAGATGAGCCTGAGCCGCGTTAAGTTTTCCACAAAAAGAAGGTCTCAAGTATCTAAATACAATGTTTCATGTCACGACGTGGTGGAATCAGGCGTTCGTCAATTTTTGACCATTTTGGGTTTTCGTCAATTTTTGACCATTTGGGGTTGTTGGTATCATCTTAAAGCCTGTTCATTTGTCTTCCTTTAGGTGAAAAAAATATCCATCTATATTGAATAGAAGTCGAAATACATGCCTCAGGGTCGTTTGGCTTCAGAGGTAAAATTAGCGAGAAAATGGCGGCCGAAGTTTGTTAACCTCCATAGCCTGAGAGTCCTTGAAAATTGAAAATTGAAAATTGAAAATTGAAAATTGAAAATTGAAAATTGAACATTGAAATGTTTTGTGCCCTTAATCAGTAAAATCCACACAGATGTGTTTTGAAATTGGCATAAAAAGTGTTGAGCCAAAAAAAAGAAAATTAGAAAAAATATAAAGGGCAATAACTAGGTCATTTCAGAAAGAATTTCAACAAAACTTCGAACTAATGAGATCTAACAAATAGGACGTCATCTTCATTGGTATTAAGAAAATCAGTCATTGTGTTCAGAAAATATTCAGTATCTAAAATTTCAACCAAAATTGATTAAAACGCAAAACTTTACCATTCCTTAATACTTATTATTATACTGGCTCGTTCTATCTGAGAATAAAGCATGATAAGTATTTGAATACTGAAGAAAACACTTGCAAAAAAATGACATTGCAATAAACCATAAACCAAAAAAAAAAAAAAAGAAAGAAAAAGATAAGGCAAAAAAGAATGACTCATTCAAAGGTGGATTTTGACAGACAGTGTCTACGGAAACAACTCATAAACCATCGCAACACTGAAACTCGATGTTGATCAAGTGCTCTTAAGAATCGACCCATAAACATGCCATAGATACCCTAAATTTCCCCCGGCGTATTGGAGCTTGTCTGGAGAGAAATGGCTAATAGATTCTACCTGGATGATAGTAATGTTATTTTAGTTCGCCACCATCCTCTCGAAGTGTGTCCACTGCGTTCTTGAAGAGTCAATATTTTCCTCACATCTGTATTAACAAACGA